CAATGTACTGAAGCTGACAAATAGCATAAATTATGAAGAGTTCCACATCTCGGAGAGAAGGTAAACCCATTCCGTAAAGCTTTCCCAAGACAAAACCGCAGGTTCATCCAGTTTCAGTAACTATTTTAAACTATTTAAGGAGCAAACAACACTAACTTTATGCAAACTTCAAGCATATTTGTAAAAAGGAAAAATACTTGCAGTTATGTTTAATGAGATCTGTGTAAACTTTCCTTTAAGACCTGAAAAGAACTCTACAATAAGTAGGAATTTATGGAACAATAACTCTTATGAGCCAAGTTCTTAAGAAAATATTAGCCAAGTGAACTCAGTGATATAAAAGATGGCTACTACCTCATGACCAAGTGGAGTTCATTCCAGAAATTCAAGGTTGTTGGAACATTTAAGACTCAATTAGTGTGATTCACTACATTAGCTGAAGGAAGGAGAAAAGACATGCAACCACCTTGATAGAGTCTTAAAATATTATTTAACAGAATTCGGCACTTGGTCTTAATTTTCAAACAATCTGGCTGTGTGCGATGGCTCATGCCTGTAATCCCAGCACTTTGGGCAGCTGAGTTGGGTGGATCACCTGAGGTCGGGAGTTCGAGACTAGCCTGACCAAAAGGAGAAACCCTGTCTCTACTAAATATACAAAATTAGCTGGGCATGGTGGCGCGTGCCTGTCATCCTAGGTACTCGGGTGGCTGAGGCAGGAGAATCGCTTGAACCTGGGAGACAGACGTTGCAGTGAGCTGAGATCGTACCACTGAACTCTAGCCTGGGCAACAAGAGCAAAGTTGCGTCTCAATAAATAAATAAATAAAAACAAAAATCTATTTGCAAACTTGTATTTAAAAGGTATTTCTTCAATCTAAGAAATGATTGCTAACCTATTGCACACATTAGTCCCAGCAGTGAAATATATGTAAAACTGTCTCTTTCATATCTGGAGTAGTAGTCAGACAATGAAAATGGCAAGAAAATTATATGAAAGAGATAATAACTGCATCCAGGTAAAATTGTCGTTATTTACTCTTGATCTAATCAGGTACTTAGAAAATAAAAATAACCGACAAATTCATAGTTTTAATAAGTAAATTTAAATAATGTTGCTGGATACAAAGTCACTATACGTTAAACCAATTATGTTACTGATATAGTTTGGATGTTTGTCCCTTCCAAATCTCATGTTGAAATGTAACCTCCAATGTTGTATCCTTTTATAATACAAGCATTTAAAACAATATTTTTTTCTAAGGACTGCCTTGGTTGTATAACAAAAATTTTAAATATTCATTTTAGTACTATTTTATTTAAATTTATCTTCTAATTTTCCTTCTGATTTTATTTGACAAGCCATAGATTATTTAGAAATGTATTATTTTACTTCCAAAAATTTGGGCAATGTTCTTCATCTTATTTGTAATTTGATAAGACTGTGTTCAGATAATATACTCTGTATGATTTTATTCTTGTGAAAGTAATTGAGACTACTTTTATTGTCACGGTATTTGTTCTATTTCATGGATAATCTTTGTGCAATGTAAATAAATAAACATTCTGTAGTTCTCAGATGTCAGTATATATGTCAATTATAAATGCCAGCTCAGTCAAGGTGGTTGAAAGCATTGTTCCTATCTTGATTTCCTTCCTGATCTTTGTTTGCACGAAGCTACAGAGAGGTTTGTTGTCTTCTATCTAACTCCCTAGTCCCCACACCACCAGCATGAAGTCAGAAAACGTTCTGGAAGGAGACTCAGCTGGCAGGGTAAAGTAGATATGTATTATTCAGGGGGCCTCTATAGATTGTAATGCAGTACACAAGTCCATGGGGCTGTTTACAACTCAGCTGCTTTGTCCTCAGTCCCTCACAATCTCCCTTTCTCAGCCAGGCTTAATATTTCCCCCCATTAAGATTCCATAGAGGGGTCAAAGAATAAGAGTGGACATTTGTCCCTGCTCACCTAAGTGGAATTTGTTCATGTCCAGAATTTGGAATTTTTATACTTTTTGATCTATGGCTCAATAAAATTTTAAAAATAAGATTATTTTCCAGTTTATCCATTTAGTCTATATATTTTTTGTTCTTATAGTAACAGTGACAATTCTTGTAATTTTCTACTTCCTAATTGGCATTATATGTTTTATGATTTTTTTCCAATTCATGTTGATAGTCCTACATAATTTACTTAAAGCCCTGTATATTATTCCTTTCTATGTCTACACCACAATTTACCTTTCTTCTAAATATTGAGAATGTTTCTTTTCTCTCCTGTTACATTTTTTATATGTCATCATGGACGTACAAGGAAAAATGTACCAAGAGTGTAAAAACCTAGAGTGGAAATACTGTATTATCCAAATGACTCAGGGTTACACCAATCTATGCTCACAGTGCCCCACACAACACCAAACGTCATCCTGCAGTGTGCTGTCACTCCACATGCTGCATAGTTTTTAGGATGTACAAAATTTTTATAATCAAGACAAATGAATCAGTTTTTCTTTTAGAATTTCAAAATGTTTTTGTTATTGCAAACCATGGCTCAAAACGACCAATTTTATATTTCTCTGGGCTCAGGTAGGATTGTTTCCTTAAGACAGATGTTCAGAATGGGATTTTTGTTGTTTTCATCAAGCATGTAACAATTGCATTTTGAGTTTTAATAGCACACTGCCATCCACTCACAATCCTAATAATATAGGAGAATCTATTCCCATAGAGTCTTCTAAATCCTTGATTTTAAAACAAGCTATTATATTTTCCAGTTTTTGGGGGGAGAAATTGCTGTTTGAATTTGGATTTTTCTGTTCGTTGGTGAGATTGAGCAAATATTTGACTATTGGAATATTCTCTTCTATAGTCAGTCTATATCTTTTGCCCAATTTTCCGTGGCATTTCCATTAATTAATTTATTGATTAGTTAGCAATTGTTCATAAGGAAATTAACCCATTGTCTGTCTTATGTGATCAAATTTTTTTCTGAGCATCATATACTTCTTTTAATTTTGTTATTTTCTTCATGCAAAGAAGTCAATAATTTTCTTCAAATATTTTTTCATTTGTGTCTTCTGGATTTTGTCTTGTTTACAAAGTCTTATTTTTTAAAAAAGAATTATTTTAACAGGATTCCTAAGGCTTCATTTACATACTATGAGATTCATTCATTCTATATGTAAAATGTAATGATTTTAGTAAATCAGTACATTCGTGCAATTTTCACAATCCAGTTTTTTTTTAAACATTTCTGTTATGTCCAAAATTTCTCTATTTACAGCTAATTCCCACTGATACCCCAAGCCCTAGGCACCCAATGATCTGCTTTTTGCATCAATCAATTTACCTCTTCTATGTATTTCAAGTAAATGAAATCATACATTATGTAACCTTTTGTGTCCAGTTTCCTTCACTTAGTTAACATTATTGAAGTTCATCAGTTTTGTAGTATGTATCATCATTTTGTCCCTTTTCATTTCTTTTTATTTATTTTCTCTTTTTTCATTTGTGTAAATTTATAAGGTCCAAATGTAGTTTTCTTACCTGTGTAGATTGCATAGTGGTGAAGTCATCAGTGTTCCACAGTATCCATCACCCCAATCACATGCATTGTACCCATTAAGTCATCTCTCATCACCTGGAGTGCGAGTGTTGAAACTTGCCTTGGGAAAATGACCCTCAGGTTCATGGTATCTCCCCTGCCAGATAAGTCTGGTTTTGTTCCCTTTTACTGTTGAATGATATTGCCTTGCATGGATGTAGTTTATCCATTTTGTTAATCCATTTACTAGTTGAAGGATATCTGGATTGTTTTCAGTTTGGACCTACTATGGCTAATGCTGTTCTGAACCCTTAAACATGTATCTTCATGAGGACATACGTTTTTATGTCTCTTAGGTAGATTCCAAGGAGTGAAATTGCTGGGTCACAGGGCAAACATATGTTAAACTTTTAAAGAAATTGCCAAATTTGCAGGTATTTGTAAAATCATACACTCCCACCAGCAACACATAAGGGTTTAGAAAGTCTGTTTGTCTTCAAACATATTCATAATGATGATGATAGTATCAGAAATAACATCTGTCTTGTGAATTTTATATTTTCTCTTTATGTTTCAATTTTTATTCATCCAGAATCCATTTGGTGAAAGAAATGACTTTGAAATACAACTTACCACAAACTGAAACTAAATCTCAACTCTTTCTGGTTCTAATTCCAGACTCTGTTTTACTGGCATATATAATAAAAAATAAAGAATCAGTAACACATTTTTTTTGGTTTTT